CCCCCCCCCCCCCCCCCACTGCCCCCCTAAACTTAAACACCCTCCCTCCCCCCCTGGCAAGAAAGAGGCACCACTCCTGCAGGGCGGAGAGCACCTCTTGCGGTAGAGGGCTCTTCAGGGCTTGTAGAGTCTAAGGTAAGGCTTTCGGATTTCGGATGCTTTTTGACTTGAGGCCTGAGGCTTTATGGTTTTTGTGTACTGTAATGTAGGAACCTNNTGATTAAGAAAGCCTGGGCCTTTATTAGGGTTCTTAATATGAACCCGAATATATTGGGGTTATAGGGCCAGGGTTTCTTAATCAGGTTCCTACAGTAGGAGCCTTAATAATTGAATAGGTTTTGGGCTTCTGTGCATGTAGATCAAGTGTACACGGTGTTGGGCTTTCTTAGGGGTCAAAGCAATAATAGGCATAGCCAGGGTTCGGGGTTAACAGACTACAGTTGCCCAGTGTCAAGAACTGTGTGACGCTGCGGCACCGCGCTAGCTGGAAACACCTGATTTGAGAATCCTATTCGCAAGTGGTCTCAGGGGTCCTACTCGCAGAGACCGATACGAAGAAGGCAGCAATATCCTACATCACCAAGAGCAGCCCTTATCACTTTACCTACGAGGTCAAAATTACGGTTGGTGGTATGACCAAGTGGAGCAATGATTTGAATGGAGTTTGCAAAATGTTATAGGATCTTAGGTTAATATACACTATACAGACACATGCTTAGGATTACTTATGGAAGTTCGTGCGACTGCCTTGCCATGGAACTGCCAGCACCTCCAAACCGTGCACCCGGTAGTCACATGGAAAGGGATGCGAAGTAGAGCAAATAATAGTCCCTAAACAACCGAAAATATTATATCCTACCAAACACGAATCGCCGCTGTTTACGCTCTCCTCAGGTGGCTCGGGGTTTAGGGCTTAGACTGGGCTTAGGGTAAAGGACTTCAGGGCTTAAGGCTCAGGTTATTCAATTTTTGAGGCGTCTGGTAAGGGGCTGAAGGCTTACAAACCAAACAGCAACACCCTCAATAAGGGGGCACGTAACCTCTTCCCTAGTATGGGTATCAGAATACCACCGGGCGAGGTCAAGGGGTTTAGGAAACGCGAAAGCACCCCCAAACCCTGAACACCAATGAACCCTCGAGGATTTTGGGCGTGCCTCCACACTCAGAGTGTTTCTCTTCTGCGGGGCCGTCAGCGTCAGTGTGAGAACCTGTCCACTAAATTAGAGGGTTTAAAGAGTCGTATTGGGTTTCCGAGGTTTGTAGGGTTGTACCAGTGTTTTAAGAAGGATCCAAAGTCTTGCGAAGTTTTTATGAGTGTTTCCTAAGGGCTTCACAAGGGTTCTTCTGGTTAGTATCGTAGAGGTCTGAAGACTCAGAGAGAACACCCTCCGCATACACACGAGGTCTGAAGAACCAGAGATGTCATTCCTTAGGCATCATGATTCCTGAAACTTCTTTAATCTGACGATTTAGTTAAGAAGCTCTTGTGATGGCTGCAGAGTTCGGGCTCATTATTCGACTCTACAGGGTCCAGCAAGGGTTCTGCAGGGTTTCTACACAACGCTTGTAAAAGTTGACTAATCAATCATTGGTAAGGCTATCCCTCTACAGTCTCTATAGACTCTATAGCTCCAAGGGAAGCTACTCGAATAATCAGGGACTCTGTAGTACACACAAATATAGAGACCCCCATCTTGACGCTACTTCAGACAAACCTCTGAACCCAACTTCCAAACTCAGAACACAAACCCTGAGCCCCACCCCGAAAGCAAACCACAAGGAAGCCGTTCCCCACCATAAAAGCCCGCCCCCCATCTTCAACCCTGGTAGACGGTAAGGAATCTCGAGCCCAGGGCTTTCTGAGGCAAGTGTGCCTTAAATGGCACCGAACACATAATGTAGGGGCCTGAATAATTAGAATAGGGTTTTGGGGATTATTATACTCTAATTATGATAAGGAACCCCCAAAATAGTATAGCTAACTATTAAGGCCCCTATATTACACTCACCAATATGCACAGGGAGCCCTGTACACACCCACAATATTCAAACTGAGCCCCATATACGCTCACCAAACTGCCGAGCATGAGCCCTTAACCCTGGAGTCGAAATCCCGAAGAACCCCTCTAAACATCATGTGAACCCTTCACCCTAAGCCCCGAAGCCTAAACCCGCAATAGCCCGTAGAAGCCTCACGTGAACACAGCGCCTGCTTCCCATCGATGCGCCATTGCAACGCACCGGACTCCGAAGATCCTTCGGCGACTGCCTGGAACTTGCCCAAAGTATGAATCTTGGGGGCCACGATAGTCCAGGGGTCATGAAGTTCCGTGAAGGGGGCAGAGTTCGATGGTATAGTTGCATGTGGACTAAACATCGCCTACAGCTGCTAAGTGCCTTAATACTTGGAATAGGGTTTGGGGTTTAGGGTTGGGGGTGTAGGGTTTAGGGTTTAGTCGTAGGGCTGTGGTATGAGGACTTTTGTGCCTGACTTGGGCGGTCAAGTTCAAAGCTCAGGTTTGCAGGTTTAGGAATTAGGGCTTAGGACTTTAGGGTTTTAAGGTTGTTTTTTGGGGGTTTAGGCTATTGGAGTGTCGGGCTTAAGGCATGCGGCTTAGGACGCTGGGTTTCGGGGGCTTTGGGTCATATGGCGGCTGTTGGAGGGTGTGTGGGCGAGCGTGTGTGGACGGTTGGCCATCGGTTGCGGGGTTTACGAGGCTTTGTTGTCTGTTTACGCGAAGGACGATAGGTGCTCTTGCACGGGTATTCTGGGCAGTATTCTGTTTGTTGGATAACATTGGGCGGCTTTAACTGGGCTCTTGTACAAGGATCTAGTACTCATGTGATTTAGTTCGAAGCCTTGCGGTGCCTCAGATTGATAAGACCGCCTGAAACCAAACGAAACCCTTAGCAACCAACGGTTTTAAAGGTTTAGACTGGGCGGCTAGGAATGCGGCAGCGGGTGTGTGCTTTGCTCCGATTGGTGGCGAAGTTGAAATCCAACCCTAAACCCTATAAGCCCTATAAGTCCTAAAACCTAAAAATTAAAATCCTAAAACCGAAAAAATCCTAAAGTGTAACGTAGAGGTCTGAAGATTTTGCTGGTAACAGCAATGCCTTACGGCGCTTCAGTGCAGTTTTGGGGTCTGTTTGGGATGGGGCTCAGGGCTCACATCTATATCTATATCAATGTCTGGCTATATCTAGAGATATGGAACATGTATATACGTGAACTGCCTGCACCTCAAATATCAAAGATGTACTCCCATACGTACATACATACACATACATACATACATACATACATACATACATACATGCATGCACACGCATACATACATACGTATATGCCTACAGACATACATTACATTACGTTACATTACGTTACATTACGTTACATTACGTTACATTACGTTACATTACACTACATTACATTACATTACATTACATTACATTACATTACATTACATTACATAACATTACATTACATTACATTACATTACATTACATTACATTACATTACATTACATTACATTGCGTTACATTACATTACATTACATTACATTACATTGCACTATTATACTTATAACGGAGTTACTGACATAATAGTTGTATATTCTATTGCACTACATGACATGATGTTGCATTCTTTTGCATTCTTTCACTTTACGTCCAATTACACTACATTACATTGTATTACATTACGTCAAGTTATATGATGTTATGCTCTGTTTGCCCTGTTGCATTATTAGCTTATATGTTTTTGTTTACTAATACTATTGCGTTACATCATATAATTCCTATGATACCAGACAACTAGCCGTCATGTCTTGCCCGGGTGTGCGTGGATCTGCAGAGGCCCAATCACAGCGATCGTTGCGATGCCAACGACCATAAACCTTAAAGCTCTAAGCCCAGACCCTACCTCTTACAACCCTCAACCCCACACCCCAAAGCCAACACCCGAACATGCAGACCCAAACTTGTTCTAAAGACGCCACACCCGAAAGGTCCGACACAATGTTCCCGAAGAGTCGTGCTAAGTAGAATAGGGTCCCTTCGGCTTAGGGTTTAAGGCAGAGAGTATGACGCCCGAAAATTCACACCACCATGGCGGTGTTTAAGGATTCATTCCTCTATGTACATGGAACCTTTATGCGCTATTTGACGGATGCCGTTTCCAGTACTTAATACTATGTTAACTTTTAAACTTCTATTTAAGATATTCAATGTACAACTTTCAACACTCCAAAAAGGAAATCTCAAAGACTTAAGGCTTTAGAATCCTTAAAGCATTTAACAATTTTTTTGAGGGAGTTTTTTTCCTACATTTACACTTTTTGTTTTTAAACGGAAACTGTTAAACATTTAGAGCCAGGTCCTTGATATGCAGACGGGATTTCGACAACGATTTAGAATCTAGAATTAAAAATTGGAAAGATGTGTACAAATTCTGGAAAATTTGAAACGTCAACTCCTTAAAAAAATATACATTTTCAAGCAAGGAGAAATTCAATAATTTGAAGCGCCTAAAGTCGTATAATTTTCAATTTTTTGATAAAGGAAAGTTGAAAATTTGCGAATATTTTGAATGAAAATTTGGAGCGTCAATTCCTTTTAAAAAGTTACATTTTCAAGCAAGGGGGAATTCAATAACTTGAAGAGCCTAAAATCGTCTAATTTTCAAATTTTTGATATAGGAAAGTTGAAAAATAGCGAACATTTTGAATGTATAGAATTTTTCAGTTTTTGGATTCAGAGTCGTTTCAGAAACGATTCGGTTTTAAAAAAGTTATAAATATAATTGAGCCGTTTGAAAAAATACGGTATTTAAACGTTCTAGAAATTTTCAAAAATTTTGGGAGTTTGTATATGTTTAAATTACCAAATAAGAATTTACAGTTAGAAAAATTGAACAGTTTCGAACAAACGAAATTCAAGAAGTTGCAAATATTTTCAACTTTATTTAATTTTCAGCTTTTGCATTCGGTTAAAGAGTTTAAACCGTTAAGACGTCAGAGAGATTTCTGAAACGATGTGAATATTCAAATGTTGAAAACTGTTATTCAAATGTTGAAAACTGTTATAATTTTTGAAAATAATGGAAATTGTAAGAGTCTTAAATATTTACAATGTTTCCATTTTCCTTTGTTGAAAATATTTTTTGGTTTTATCATTTTTAGTTTAAATCGCTTCATAAATCTCTCCGAGGTCTGATAACATCCAGTATTTGGAATTTTTGAAACCGCACACACTAGAAGAACTGAGCTCTTCTACTTTGTAGTAAGAACTAAGCGGGCGAAATCTCCACAAGTTCTGCAGGAGAAATAGGAGTTCCAACAAGTTAGATAAATTTCAAAGGCCCTTGATTAAGAAGCAATGTGAAAGCTCTTGGAAGCCCTAATTGCAAATGCGAACAAGTATTGCGGGTGTTCAAAACTCACTATGTGAGTTTTTGCTGTGATCTTTTGAAAACTATTGCAAGGAAAAGAGAGTTTCGACAGTAGCCGTTTGATAACGCATAAAACCTCCTCCAATTCTTCCCAAGAGATATCGAGGGGACGCCTGCTGCCAATCCTAGCGGTCATGAGAACTCTAGTGGTCAAGAGAAATTCGTGGAGAATGTATGAGGAAGAGTTCCTTCGAAGTTTCACCCAAAGGAGGAATACAAACGATGAGCGCAACGATAGAATGTGAGCTCCTGTGGTCTTTGATGCCATACATGGGTGCCAAGTTCTCTAGGAAGACAAAAGATAAGGGCTCCTCTAATTCATTTTACGGACTAGGGTTTAAAGAATAGGAGGAGAGCTGCCATAGTTTTCACAGCCAACGTTGAGGCTTATGTAATTCCTAATAAGGGATGAGGGAACTAGTGTAGTTCTCTGTATGACACAAAGAGCATTCAATACTCAATACGACAGGCCTTGTGCCGGTTAACAAAAAGTGTTAGGGGAGAGCTCCCAAAATGGCAGTCCGTCCATTTCTTAATGGAAATTTCGAGAAACTGCTCTCTCCAACTCGCAATAGGAAGCCAGTGGAAAAAACGATCCCAAAGTTTTAAAACACTGCACGACAAGTAAAGGCTCAACAAGGAAAGCGATGGCGATAGCATTCTATACCTGCTAGGTTCATGAAGAATGTGAGACTTCCTAGATTTGCAAGGACTAGCAACAAGACGACAGATACTATAATTCGTCAGACAGAATAACAGAGTTTGAGCAAGGTAGAAATCAGGCTTCCTGTGGCACGCGCGCGCAAATATCCCGAACACTTGACAGTTTATTCGTATATATGTATATAAGCAGGGAGAGCTTCGACTGTGTTTGACAGCAAATAAAAGCTCCTTCAGCTTTTGAATAAGAACTAAATTGCACAAAGCATGGGAAAAAACGTTGTTCCAATTCTTGGAAAATAAGAAAAGGGAGAGCTTCAGCTGTGGTGGTTAATGGCAAACAAGACTTCTTTCTGCATCATACAACGAAATCAGTGAAACTCTTCATCTTTACTACGGGATGGCCAACAAGGTGAAGAAGAGTTCTTTCTGGTGTTAAAACGGAAACATGAAATGTCCTCTGTTTCATCATACGAAATGGTTCGGGTTTTTCCTCCATGGGTTTCTTTTTGTGTCCTGGGGGAGCTCGGTGCCTATAGATATCCATTAGGTTGTCTGAACTATGAGAGGTTATTGCAGTTCTCCTTTTCGTTTTTGTCAGCGATACGGGAGCGTGTTTTGTGAGGATCTATGCCAACTCGCCGCATATGTCGCAGGAAGGGTTGATCGGAATCAAGCACCATAGGAGGCTATAAGAGTTTCAGCAGTCTTCTTGCTGCAGTTGAAAGAACTGTTAGGTCAGTAAAGGATGTATGAGCTCTGTTGTTTCAGATGGAGAACTGTTGAAGTTCTCCTCACAGTATTAAGGCATTGGACTCGCTCTCTTATTCCGTATTTATAACTACATAAACCTTATTGTTGGCCTATTGTTGGCCATGGAACATGTGGCAACTCTCCTTTTGTTCTTTCGTCTTTAGGGTTTAGGGAAGCCCTTTTCGTTTGTCTTTTTAGTTGGCGTGGAGCTCCCGAATTTCATGTTTGAAACCTACAGAAACTCTCCTTCACACGCCTTTTATTGAATATTGAAGGTTGAAGCTCCAATAACTAGTAAGAGTCGGAAGTTTCTTATTTGTTGTTACGGGCTACTCGGCTACTTGCTCTCGAGGCTCTTTTTCCTATATCTTACCGCTGACCAATAATGAAAAAGATTATCCTCA